AAGCGAAAAATAGACTTCAGTGTGTTGAGAGATGCTGTAAATGACGTTTATAGCAAAGGTCGGACGTTCATAGAAAAAATCTTTTGAGGTCGATCTCATATGATTTTGCAGACACGCTGGTGAAGGAATCGCTTCTCGCATGGTTACCTCCAGCGCCAGCAGTGGAGGCCTCTATGGAAATCGACCAAGCACCGCTACCTCAAAAGACTCCCCCACCGCAGTCAGACCCATTGCCTGAAGCTGAAGTCTACCTACGGCTTTTAATTCTGACACTATTACTTTCCTCACCGGATACTCATGCCAAATCTATGGAGATGGCTCACGAAACAGTGGAAAAAATCCAAGCATGGAATCGACGGAGTTTGGACCCTCTGGCCGCGCGAGTTTGGTTTGCATTGGGACGAGCGTACGAACTTGGCGGCGAACTGGCCGATGTCCGACCGTAAGCGAAATTGACGTCTACATTTCGACACTATCTCACTGCGCCGCTTGTTAAGACTATTTCTATCTGCACAGCGAACGGCGTCGCTGCGCCGGGACGATGAATGCCAAGCCGTCTTGATCAATCTTCTGTTACGGAATTACCTGCATTACAATCTCTACGACCAAGCAGATAAGCTCGTCTCCAAAACTACCTTCCCGACTTCTGCGGGTAACCCGCAATTGGCACGATACCATTACTATCTGGGTCGGATCAAGGCCGTTCAGCTGAACTACACCGCAGCCCATACGAACCTGCAACAAGCCATTCGACGTGCTCCTCCGGCCAAGACGGCCCCTGGGTTCTTCCAAGCGGTGCACAAATACTTTATTGTGGTGGAGCTGCTGATGGGAGAGATCCCTGAGCGAAGCCTCTTTCGACACCCTGTGCTGGAAAAGGCACTCACAGGATATTTTGAAATCGTGAAAGGTTCGTCCCCTGTTTCATTTATGGAAACGCCAATTTTGACGCCAATTTAGCTGTTAGAACTGGGTCTTTGACACAATTCCAGTCCACATTATCGACCTACGCCGGTCAATTTAGCGTTGACAGGACTTATACGCTCATCGTCCGACTGCGACAGAACGTGATTAAGACCGGTGTTCGGCGACTTTCCTTGTCATACTCGCGGATATCTCTCCGCGATATCTGCGTGAAGCTTCACCTAGACTCCGAGGAAGATGCTGAGTACATTGTCGGAAAGGCTATTCGAGATGGAGTGATGGAAGGCAAAGTCGTGCACGAAAAGGGTTGGATGGAGTGTGGCAGTGGAAAGAATGCGTACGGACCGGAGGTCAGCGAAGTATTTGGACGACGGATTGGATACTGCTTGGAGCTGCACAACGAAAGCGTCAAAGTTAGTTGTCCCCCATTTGCTGAACACTCAGTGCTACATCCTCGTGGGCAAATTGCATTATTAATATGGGATTACTTTAGGCAATGCGTTATCCCCTCAATGCTCATCGTAAGGAGCTTGCCGCTGCTGAAGGTGCGCGTGAACGCGAGAAGGAGCTGGCGAAGGAGATCCAAGATGGAGAGTTGGATGACGACGACGGCTTGGGTGACTTTTAGATTGATGTCCAAGTCCAACTCGCGTTTTCACTTTGTGCAGGCCTCTTAATTCATGCGAAAGCGCACAAAAGCGTTGCGATTCGATCGAGATCGATGCTCCCCGCTTTTAATATCCTTTATCGAACGCTTCGTGGCTCGAGGAACCTTCTGATGTTGTGATTGTACTGGAGATCCGCCATGTCGTGATCAATGCGCCATTAATGCTACGCAAATCTGAATGCAGGTCTACGAACAACCAGAAAACCGAACCACTTCTGCGAAAACCATCCACCACATCGTGTCATTCAAAATCGTAAGTAAAATCGTAGCGAGATTATTCAGGAGGTGCATGAATGAGAGGGAAGCGCGAATCATAAGACATATCTGAATGCCAAATTCTCTTTATCCGTCATGTCCAACATGGACTTTTCCACCCTGATCCTGACCTGCTTCCCATTCTCATCCACACCACCAATATAACCCATGTCATCAAACGCAGCAAGAGATTTCCCAGAAGCTTCGGCCTCAGCCTGCAATGCGTCTCTCCGTTTATTCTCCGTCACAAACACGTACCGGGTAACAAGAATGAGAGTGATGTTGATGAAATATGTTGCCTGTAGAACTGTGAGCTGCATGTGGAGAATTTCATCGTTTGACTTGCCAAATTGATTGACCAGGGGACAATGTTCCGGGGTCGATACTGCTCCTTCCAAAATTGCGTGCACAGAATCTGGCCCAGAGCGTATCCAATTATGAATATACTATTGACCGTGAGCCTCTGCGAATTGTCGCTGTGAGTTTGTGGCGTGGACTGTTGCAATGACAAACCTTGGTGTGCCCAGCAGACGTCGACGCCACCCATGACATTGTCATAACGAAGCCGGGGATGCCGCCGAAATCTGCCGGAAAGTCATCAGCAGGTAGATGATGAAATCGTTAGGGCCACGCACTTGTAATATATATTGCGATCAAGTGCCCAACCTAAAGCGTGACTTTGTGAATTTGCATCATTTGTCCAAGTGGACATGGAACGAACCTTATGCTTGAACGGGAGGCATATCTGTACAAGTGCCCCAACAATTGACGGTATCCAGAAGGTAATGTTTATCCATGCGCGTGAATTCTACACATGAAATGATGAACGCAGGTCAATAAGATACTTCCGGACTGGGAACACTCACAGGAAAACGTCGCAACAGATAGCACGCAAGAGTAACGCCAATAATCGACTGGTGGATTTCAGTATACGCATCGCATTTTAATGGTGAATACGTACGGAGAAACCCGATGGAATGTTCAGCAGGGTCGTCTGAAGTGTTGTGAATCCGAAGGACTTGATAATGATGGAGTACTGGACCTGTAGCCCATTCTGAAGGTTCCTAAACACCCAAATGAGAGGTAAGAGCAATATGACACAATTTACCATCGATCTTACGCTATTGTAGCAAAGAAGAAAAATAGCCACGTCTTCACATCCGTCAACGCCTCCATAAATTGCTCCTTTTTCCACACCTTCGTTTCAATGCCGTTCTGATTCCCTTGAACACGCTTCACCACTTTCACCTTCTCTTCTTCCGTGAGGAAACGCGCCGTCGTCGGATTGTCGGGGAAGAAGAAAAGGAAGAGCACAAAGACAATAAACGTCATGATTGTGATGACGATCATAAGCCATTGCCACTGGTTAGGGTGTGCTTTTGGCGAAGCATGAAATACTGCGAACGAGAGGAATCCAGAGATGATTGTTGCAAAGCCGAAACATTGGAAAGTCCTGTCAAGTCGGTATGTATAAAATTTGGTACGGGTTTGAGGAAAGTGAACTACGGACCAGCCTAATCGTTCGCCTATCTCAGTTCTCGTGTAGTACATTGACGTCACGAGCATAAGCCCTACCATCATGCAGCGATATAAATGCTTGAGATTTAGAAGATAACGAAAGCTTGAATTACCTGCCATCATAGAACCTTCCGTGGCACCAAGAAAAAATCTGAGCGCAACTATGGTTCCGCATAAGACTTCGCCGACAGCGAACAATCAAACAAACGCACAGAGGCTGCTAAAATTGTGGCATACAGGATGCAAACCCAGAAAAATGCACCTGTTGATTTTTCGATAAGCTTTAGTTCCAACACCGCATAAAATGTTTAAACGCACCAAAGGAAAACGTTGAAAGTGAGCCATTTCCCAACAGGAAACCGTTGCAGAGCCAAGTTCTGCGGGTATTCAAAGACCAAAAAACCTACAATTCCGATTTATAACATTTCGCAAATCGACAAAAGCAACATAATCCTACCGATTGAAAAGGCCGAACCCAGTGTGTTAAAATCATCGGTGGTGAGATGGGCATCGGTTAGAATGCCGAGAATGGATGAGGAAGCAAGTGCACCCCTATGAAACAACGTTCAGCAATTTTTTTGCGACTGGCGAACCAGTAATATGCGATGTTCGAAAAATGAAATATGTCTCACTTATCGATATACAGCACTTTCAAGGAATTTCTCAGTATACGCCATGATAATTTATATGAAAAACAGGGCATATACGCACTGCAGTATATGATAAATAATAATGGCAGCAGGTGACGATCTAGCTTATTGCGAATGCGTCGAGACTCTTCAGGGCTGAGGTCTTCATCTTCAGCGTGTCCCGTCGCAAGTCCGATCGCAACATCGACATTCTTGAAATCAAGGTGCAACGGTCCGCTGAAAGTTATGTCGCCGATGGATCCTTTTTCCGAGCTGTCGATAGTTGCGTCGTGTCCCATGTTGTGGAGCCAGGCAACGAGGCAGTAATGCTCACGGCGGTTTATATGTTTTCGGACCCCTTCCAGACAGAGGAGAATAGATCATCCGTAGCGATGCGGCCGCGGGAGAAAGAACGTGAAGCAAAGTCATTTAGAACGTGTGGAGAACGATTACGAGCACGTTCTGCAGGGTCGCATAGCTGAGAAGAACTAAGGGCTTCATGTTCCGGATTCACTTCAACCTTGCTAGAGTCGGAGATCGGCAGGCCAGTTACCCCAGTAAGCCAAACGATTCCAAGTATTTCAAGTGGTATGGTTGAATATCTAAGCCGTTGCTCCTCGTAAGATGAATTCAATCCAGATATTTCATGGCCCGTGAAGCAAGCATGATTTTGGAACATGTCCCTTTGTACAGTTCGAAGTGACTTGCGGAAGCACTAGGAAGCATTGTCTGCCCAAAGCGGACCTCTACTCATGTCAGGGATGTCATTCCAGCGGCGGAGTTGGAGCTACTTTGCACATACGTGCCAGTGGGTTCTAGAGGTGATGCGTTGAACAGAAGATCGAAAAGATGTCAACGTTCAGTGGGAGAAAAGGCAGTGGTGACAACAGCTAGACAAAGACACAAGAAGGTGGAGGATTTAAAAACCAAGACAGCAAGGAGCGCAAGCAAAACGATGATAGGAAGGTATGGTGTTTATAGTGTTTCAAAATTATCGTAGAACTGGTTGCCCCATGGCTCAGTTGGTTAGAGCGCATGACTGTTACTTTGCAAGACTATCATGAGGTCCTGAGTTCAAGCCTCAGTGGGGCAGTGGTTGATAACAGAGTTTTTGTTCGCATTCACAGAATATTTTTTCACGTTATTTTGTTATCCGAAAACACTCGGATTTGGAATATGTCGACTTGACACCCTTTCGCAGGATTCGTCTGGCTCTCGTCCTAGGTTCGTAACCGCATAAAGTTTGTCGTCTGCACCAGAAGGAGAAACTGTACAGTTCCATTCGGCATGATTGGTCAGATCCTCCACGCTGCCGGCACGCGCTGGCGTGAACTCTATTTCCGCGCTCCCACGGTCGACGCTGCCAAAAACATCCACGAACCCTCGACATTTCTGAGTCTGTTCGTCCCGCAACCAGCGAGGCAGCAGAATTTACATAACGACGCGCTACGATGGACCCGGCCAAGCTCGCAAAGCTCCAAGCGCAGGCTGCGATCAATCGGATTGGTGAGTGCGGCTTTTGTCAGGCTCGACAGTGCTGACGACAATTTATTCGGTTTTCCTCTCTCCTCTGTGTGCTGTATATCGCGTGTAAATTTCGTTTTGGATGGCAATCTTGGGTACCTCTTGTTTTTGTATTGGACGTTGTGGCGGATGGACAGGTGGGAAGGGAACCGTCCGACGGAAAGTAGTGAAGAAAACGAAGCCGTCAACGGCACAGGACGATAAGAAGCTGCAGGGCGCGTTGAAGAAGCTTAACGTGCAGCCGATTCCCGGTGTAGAGGAGGTTAACATGTTTAGGGAGGATGGCAATGTTTTACACTTTACTGCACCAAAGGGTGAGCTTTCTGGCTATCCAGTCTTTCCCGTTTAGCGTGATGCAGCGGTGTTCCTAACAAATTTGCCATTTTGCAGTGCACGCCGCAGTTCCTGCGAACACTTTCGCGATCTACGGCACAGGGCACGTGAAGGAGCTAACGGAACTCGTCCCCGGCATTTTGAACCAGCTCGGACCCGACTCTCTCGCGTCACTGCGCAAGTTGGCAGAGTCATACCAAGCGATCCAGCAAGGTCAACAGAGGCCCGGCGCTGGCGGTGCTGCTCCAGAAGCGGATGATGACGACGACGTTCCGGATCTGGTGGAGAGCTTCGATGTAGAGGAAACGAATGCCAACGTTAACGCAGGGAAGGGCCAGCTTGAAGATTTGAACTAATTTTTGGCGCGACGGGGAGGGGTGGAAGTGTGGAAGTGTGTGGGTGGTTCTTGAAGGGGTCGACTTGCGTCGGTCGCCGCTCAGAGTTGTGTTGTGTAAAAATGAGTAGAGGCACCGAGGGTATGGGATTGGCGGGTCTTTCCCCTTGTCTGCATCGTTGCGGGAGTGTTGCGGGAGTGGGATCGTCAAGCAGCGTTCGACATTCATTTTTTGCGATCATTTCAGTTTATATCTTGAGCTGACTTCGTTCCATCCTGGCCTTCTCTCTTGGTTGCCTCGCAGTACGTTACAGTCTCGCTCACTTCCAGATCTGATTACGCTTTCGTGTTTCACTCATGCCATCTTGCATGTATTACCATCTGGTAAAAAAATCCAATCTGCTCTCATAACATGGTTTGAAGCACCTCGGTGAATTTTTTCGCAGTGGATGACTGAGCTTTCGGCGTTTTCGGATATTTTCTGGTTACTATGCTCACCCGTCTCATGCCCGATACTACTTCTCCACGATGCTAAAAGGCTTAAGTTTGGACCTGACCTCCACCCTCTTGCTTACTATCGATCTGGATTGATCGTTAGAAGTCGTTATTTCACGTCTCATCGTGGCAACGTGAACCTGAACTTGAAGTCACTCCTCAACTATGTCGTTTCACATCCGTCCTGCTGTCTCTGAGGATGCCGTAAGTCAGCATTATTCCTCCTCAAATACAATGCGAACGACTTCGTGCGTATGTGACGATCTAGGACCATATCATCGCACTGATAAAAGATCTTGTGCGTACTCCATTTCATCTTGAGCCGACTTCGCAATACTCAGAATATTAAACATCTGCCAAGGCAACTTATGAGAAAAGCCTCGATCGCGTGCAGGCTACCCCAGAGCTGGTTGAATTTATTCTGTCCACACCCCCAGATCGAATGACAATGAATTTGCTATAGATACGAAAAAACCTATTCGAGAACTCCTACGCGCATGCTTTATTGGCATTTGAAGGATCGGCGGACGCACCCAATCCCGGGCAAGCTATCGGACTAGCCTTGTATTTCTTCAACTTCTCGACTTGGACAGGCAAACCTGGTCTATATGTGCGTTTCTCAGAAGGCTTACAATAATCAATTCAGTGCGCACTGCATCTAGCTAATTTATTTTTGCAGCTTGAAGATTTATATGTTAAACCCGACTTCCGCGCTAATGGTCTGGGCAAGGCTTTCTTTGCGGAGCTCGGGAAGGTCGCTCAGGAAAAGGTTATATTGTCTCCATCAATTTTGTTCCTATTTCTATTCAACTTCGTGTCGTAGGATTGTGCACGGATGGATTGGGCGGTTCTAGACGTCAGTTCGCCTTCCACGAACTGCCTACACAATGCTGATGATGAGTTTTATTTGTCGCCCTTGATTTAGTGGAACCAACCGTCAATCGATTTTTATGAGAAGAAGCTCGGGGCTACTGCCATGTCGGAATGGATTGGTATGCGATTGGAAGGAGAGGGTATCGGAAATTTGCAACGGTTGAAGTAGAATCAATCTAAAATTTGTATACGAGATTCTCTGAACAGCATCTCTTGACGTCAATGGTTTACTCGTTGGCTATGCGATAAAATGATTCCATGTCTTGAATATATCAGCAATATTATCTCTGAGCATTTGGCCATATGGATACACGTTGAATTGATTTTTAATGATTAAGAAGGTTATGCAGTCGAGGTTGCTCTAAAAGCACCAAGTTAGATATTGAATCAATCGTAGTCTCCTGCACCAGATTTCAGGATGGGTTATATATACATTCAGGTAACCAGATAACATACCTCCGCCACCTCCACCTTCGTCGCCGCCTCCACCTCCTAGGTCGTCCATGTCATCCCCTTCGCCATTGTCAAAGTAATTTTCAGCGTAGTCATTGTCATATTCTTCATCCACATCGTAGTCCGAGTCATGTGGTTGTGATCCTTCATCGGATCCTTCTTCTCCAGATTTCTCCTTCTCTTCTTCGTCGCCCTCACCCATTTCATCAAGATTGACTTTCTTTCCTGTGCTTTGCTTCTCCGCTGCGCTCCATGTCAGTCTCATCGGCGCTAAATGTAACAAAGCATGCAACTCAACTCTTTTTCTTTTTCTTCAGACCGAAGTAGCTATCAAAAATCTCCGGGGGGAAGAACGGCCGGTGCAGGTCTTTACGCTTCAATTTAGGTTGAGTGGCGGGTGAAGGCCGATACTTATCAGAGTATCGTGGTAGCTCTACAGACATCCTTCAAAACCTAGAGACACAGTTTGATTGGGTATTACTCACCGTCAGATTTCGTGGATTCTACAATGTAATACTGCGATCGTCTCAATCGGGCAGCAAATCCATTTTGAAGTTCACATATCCGTTTCTCTTCCTCGGTATACGAAGTCAGGACCGGCAAAGGATCCATCGCCTGTCGCCAATATTCAAACTCGAAATAATTTTCTATCCAAAGACTTCAGCTCACTGGGTACATTTCGGTTGCTTCCCGAGATAAATTTTGAATATCTGCAAAAGTCAAACCCATGGGAGGCATTGCACTAGCCCCGAATCCGCCCCTTCCACCCCCGCGTCCCCCACGTCCGCCTCTACCACCTCTGGACATTGTCGCTGGTCGTTGAGCGCGTCGGATCCGAGCAAATCGAGAATATCCGAATTTTGAGTCAGTTGCAGCTCCGCAAGTATAAATCCGGACGAGGCTGTGCTAGTTCGTCCGCGTCCCTCTTTGTTTCCTGCCACCATCATCTCGCCCACCTTCAAGCACTCTGCTTACCCGTCTCTAACGTCTTCCTCCACAAATTTTCACCTTAAGAACTCCTCAGCACCAGTGAAATAATGGACAAGTCGCTCGACGAGGTCAGCGGAAAAAACGGTCGTCTTGGCGCCAAATGGCCACGCAAACTGACCTTGGGTTTTCATTCCTGAAGATTGTCGCCGCAAAACGCACTACTAGGCGTGGCAAGCCCCGCGGGGTTCGTCGTGGTGGTGCTCGCCAGCAGATCTTGGGCAACACACCCAAGAGTGCTGACCCAGCCCAGCGCACCCGTCGTGCTGCCCCTGCCGCGGCACCGGCCGTAGCAACAACCCCGTTTTCGGAGAAAATCATCGTCTCCAACCTCCCCGCTGACGTTAATGAGGCTCAAGTCAGGGTTAGTCTCTTCGGAAAAGTTTTTTGTCAATGTTTCAGTGGCTTATCCCCTCATTTTCGCCTGCAGGAACTTTTCAAAACCACCGTCGGCCCTTTGAAAGATGTCACCATGCACTACGACGCACATGGAGCGTCGAAAGGTATCGCCACCGTAGTCTTCCACAAGAAAGGCGATGGCGCGCAGGCGTACAACCAGTACAATAACCGGCTTATCGATGGCAGTTAGTATCGACCGTTTTCACCTCTCCACTTCTCTAGCTTTTTGCATGAACCTTCGATACTCGTGATGGCTTTTCGGCGGAGCAGCGCGGATAATGATAGAAGTGCCGTTGGGATGATGGGGTGTGGCGGGCTCGACTCGTGAATGTTGCTTCGATCCCCTGCGATTATGAACGGCCTACCGTCGACGAACGCGTGATGGAGTTCGACGATGATGATGACCTTCGCAGTAACGCTAGGATGGCTTGATGCCGACGCGCCACGTCTGAGGCCTGATCAGCCTCGGACACAGTGCACATGCGTCGGCTCAGCCCCCACCCTCACCGCACACTAGCTGTCGGTCGAACGAGCATACCTTCTGCTCGTCGAGGGAGCGTGCGGATTGCGCGTGCAGTCCTGATTGGTCGGCATTCGTGTCCCGAAGGGGTATTCGCTCGGTTCGACTCGGTTCGATATCGGTCAATATCGCACTCGACTATACTGTTCGTTCAGCACCATCTACGCGGCCCAGG